CCTCTTTAATAAACTTTTCTAAGATCTTCCTCGGGATAGAAGTCAGGCTGATGGGCCTATAATTTGCCAGATCCACTTTCCTCCCTTTCTTAAAGATAGGCACCACGTTGGCCTTCTTCCAGTCTTCGGGCACTACACCAGAGCACCAGTTCTCAAAGATCTGTGCCAGAGGCTGCTATGATGCTTGCCAGCTCCTTGAGTACCCTGGGGTGTAGATTGTCAGGGCCAGCTGACTTGAAGGTATCCAGCCTCTCAAGGTGTTCCCTTACGAGGTCAGGATTGATGGAGGGCAAGGGATCTGGGTGTCGATTGTCAGTTGTCCCATTTGGTTTAGCAGGGGTCCAATGTTGCCTTTGCTTTTCTTCTGGCTCCCCACGTATCTGAAAAAGGACTTTTTATTGTCCTTGATGCTCAAAGCTAGTTGGAGTTCAGTTGCAGCCTTGGCTTTCCTGGTTTGCTCCCTGCAGGACTGGACAAATGCAGAATATTCCTCTTTGGAAGTGACTCCCATCCTCCATCCTTTTTAGGCCTTTCTTTTTAGCCTCAGGAGGTCTGCTAGATCCCTGGAGAGCCAGGGGGGCTGCTGTGTCCTCTTGCTGCCTTTCTTCCAAGATGGAATAGAATTAGTTTGTGCATTGAGGATCGCTCCCTTGAGGAGCAACCACTCTTCCTGGACTCCCCTCCCCCTAGGGTCATGGTCCCTTAGGGCCTCACTGACAAGCCTCCTGAGCTTGTCAAAGTCAGCTTTCCTGAAGTCAAGAACTTCAGTGTTGCTGACTGACTTGCCAGCTTTACAGCGGATGGTGAAGGTGATCAGCTCGTGGTCACTGTCACCCAGCTTCCCATCGATCACTAGGTCGCCGATTAGGTCTTCCCCAGTAGCCAGCACCAGGTCAAGCAGCACTTTACCTCTCGTTGGCCCGTAGGCTTCTTGAGTCAGGTAGAGGTCATCCACGCACGACAGGAAGCTTTGCGACCGCTCGGATTTTGCTGAGTGATCCTCCCATGAGATGTCTGGGTAACTGAAGTCATCCATGACAACCATGGTCCTGGAGCAAGCGGCCTCAGCCAGTTCCTGGGCGAACTCCTGATCAAGCTCTTGACTTTGGGTGGGAGGTCTGTAGTAGACTCCCACTGTTGTGTCCCGTGCCATGTTCCCCATGGATTTTAACCCAGAGAGTCTCCAGTCGTCCACCCTGGTTGCCAACATCAGCTTGCAGGGACACATAGCTTTCCTTAACATAGAGAGCTACATCCCCGTCCCTTTTATCTACTTGTTCTCTCCTGTACAAGGTATAGCCATCATTCTACTAAATACCTTCATTCTACTAAAAAAAGAAAAAACATTTTGCACTAACTCCATCTAGCTGCCAGACAAATGGACTGCAGCACACATTGCTGAGTTGCATTATTTGAGAACCAATTTTGGTCAGTTTTGACTATCCTGAGCGGTCAATTCCTGCGTGCGTGGGGTTTGAGATGAAGCCCTAAACACGCAAAATAAAATATAACACATCGCTGCTCAAGAAGCAGCACTTGCTCACAAGCCTACATTGCTGTTCAAAACGAGACCTAAGCATCTATAAAAAATAGATTACAGACTCACCATGTGTGATCCAAAAGGAATTCTCCAAAGAAGTGCCCAGCAGTTCATAAGAATATAAATTCTTTATCCTAGGGAAGTTCCTATAGTTGTGGAGGGAGTCATAGACATGACATGCAATTTCCATGATGCTGAATGTTATCATTCCAAGTGCAAGGGTCATAGTGAACGTGTGTGTCATCAGAAGTTCAAGCTGTCTGGAAATAAGGCATCCAAGGAGGATACACCTCTGACTCCCACAAATACTGCTGCTGATCAAATGAACTTTCAGCATGTGGAAAGCTAAATATCCACAGCCCCTTACCACATTCACAGCATCAAAGAGGCGCTGGGGAGGGACATGCTCTGTTATGAAGGGGCACTTCTCCTGCAGCAGCATCACTGACTTCAGCCCCTCCGCAGTGCAGTCAGCCACAATCCAGCCACAATCCCGGGTGCTAAAGGGGAATCCGCCCTGCAGAGAATCAGATCCCATCAGCTCTAAATTGGCAATCATGCTTCTCAGCCATGTTCTGCCTCTGCACAGGGGGAGATGCGACTTTCTTGCCCAGTTTCTACCTCAATTACAGCTGTGCTTGCGCTAAAGACCTGAGGGGAAATAGCTCTTCTAGCACACGTTAGCCTCTATGGGCACCTATACACATGCAGTGAGGCTGCTCCGATGTGCTGTAATTACAGTGCGTTGGAGCACGGTAATTACTGCACTCCAGCAGACTCCAGCATTATGTGCATCAGCATCCCTGCACTGAAAAATGGCAGCATGGGTGCTTTAACTAAAGCTAGTTCAACAAGTTTTAGTTATGGTGCCCCTGCCATTTTTCAGTGCAGGGATGCTGATGCACATGACGCCCCAGGAATTTTAATTAGAGTGGTTCCAAGAGCTGCTCTAACTAAAGCACCGCCCCCTCCATGCCCTCCTCCCAGAGCACATCTATAAATGCCCCCTGTAGCTACCAGAAGCTGTGAACCTAGGAGAATCCCTCATAGACAGAGGGATAAAAAATTATTGGGGAGGGGAGGGCCTGAGTGCATATACACATGCACGCATGCCCTCCCCCAGCAGGTAAGTCTGTGGGGAAAGGTGGGGCAGATCAAGACCCCAGCTGCGAGGGAGGAAGTGGGGCACAGGCAGGAAAAGGGGCTGGGGTGAGTGGGGCCCTGGCCAGGCTGGGTGGTGGGACAAACGGAGCCCCGGGGGGCATGTGCCCCCCCTACCCAATCTGTTCACGGGGCAGAGGTGGCTGCCACTGCACACTGGGCTTTGATCCCTGCTGTGGTGAGGGAGTGGGGCAAGGGCAGGCCCTGCAGAGCCAGGGTGGGGCACAGGACAGAGCGATGGGCAGCTTGTCCGGGGGGGCGCATGGCGGGAGTGGCAGCTCCCTCTGCTGTGCACACCCTGGGAAGGCATAGGGGGGCATATGCCCCAGATCTGCATGCAGGGTGAGGACGGGCTGCCGCTGTGGGCTGGGACTGAGGTGGCACCGGGCTCTTCCCAGCAGGGTGGGGTTGGGCCATGCTCCACTTGAGGTGCACGGCAGCACTAGGAAGGGGAGTTTGGGGTGCTATGGCAAATTTTGGGGTGGCCCCCTCCAATAATCCTCCTTCCAACACCACTGCCACCCAGCCTGAGCACAGCCCAGCCCAGCCCCCCTGCCAGGAATAGCCCAGCACAGCCCTGGCCCCAGCCCAGTGACAGCTCACCCCACCCCACATAGATTCGGGGTGCACACCCCCTTGTGCCTCCTGGAGTGCACGTAGCAGCAGAAGCCGTGCCCCCCCCGACAAGCCGCTCACAGCTCCATCCCACGCCCTGCCCTGGCTGTGCAGCGACTGCCCCAGCCCCACTCCCTCCCTCACCGCTGTGTGCACCCCTCCCCACCCTCGCTGCAGCCACTGAAAGCCTGTGACCAGGCTGCCTTGCAGCCCTTCCCACTGCCCCGCATTTGGAGGAGCTAAGCCCTGTCAGCACCCACCCTCCGCCACCTATGATCCCTCCTGCAATTGTGCTGCAAGCAATGCCAGATCGCTTCTTTGGAGGCCAGGGACCTCAGACAGGTTGGTGTGTCAATAAAGTGGGTCTAGAATTTGAAATCTGGACTCAGGGAAATTCCCATTCCCTTAGCCAACTCCAGCAGCAAACTCTGCATAGGGAATATGGCCAGCCATACCTTGTTCATCTGGCGATAGTACTTCTGGTAGTCAGGTGGATTGTCCGGGATCTGCAAAAATACAAGGCCACAGGTTAGAACAGGGACGGGCAATTATTTTGGGTGGAGGGCCGCTTACCCAGTTTTGGCAGGCTGTCGAGGGCCGCATGGGGGCCCCACCCCTTGACAGGTGCCCCACCTCCTGGTCACCATCTTGGGTGTCCCAGGGCCAGCATCGGTGGGGCCCAAAGTGGGACAACAGGCTGGCAAAGGTCTGTGGAGCTAGCCCAGCTCCATAGAGCCCCTGCCAGCTGGGACCCCACACTCCTGCCACCCTGCTCTGGGCCTCGTTGGCGCTGGCCCCGGGACACTGGTGCGGGCCCCATGCTCCCTGCCTGCTCACACCCAGTGTCCCCCAGCCCCACGGTACAGGCAGGGGGGCAGCGCACAGCCCTGAACCCCTGCTGACCAGCAGGGAAGAAGCTGGTGCTGAGCGTGGGGAAAAGCGGCCCCTCGCCTGCACCATGGCCAGTGGCCCACACTGCACCCGCTCACAGCCCCTG